CTCTCTCTCTCTCTCTCTCTCTCTCTCTCTCTCTCTCTCTCTCTCTCACCTATCAAAAAATAGGGTTGTAATTCCTGTGTTTAATCTTTATAAAGTCGTCGAACCAAATGTCAGGAACCTATTGCACTCTCCCGACATGCTACTGCGGCTCGTTGTTTTTCCCTTTTTAGCTAGCTAGAACCTTCTGTAATTGGTCCGAACACCTGAACAATTCCAAAAGAAATGTTAGAACATTACAAAGGAACAAAACAGGCATCAGTTTGATCCTGAGTGATACGTCCCAATCTAGTCTGGAGGAGGTGTCGCACCTGAAAAATGTTGATTCAGATGAAACAGAAAATTCAGAAGTCTGGACCAAACAAAATGCAAAAATGGCGAACATGAGCTTCTTAAATGTGAGAACACACTGCTTTTGTCTTATTCATATCTTTGTAAATTGAATATATTTGGGTTTGGCCTTGAACAAAAGAAGCAAGAACTGCTGAGAAGTCGCTTGGGTTCTGGAGAAATTAGTTGTGTGCACATCCACAAAACATCAGTGAGATGTTTGAAATCAATTATAGCCATGATTTCAACGAGCACTGCCCTAGTTAGTGTGTGTGTGTGTGTGTGTGTGTGTGTGTGTGTGTGTGTGTGTGTGCGCGCGCACACGTGTGCGCATGTGCACAATCTAATGCCGATGTTCCTCATTTTTCACCTACTGTATCGATGTGTGTGTCCTCAGCTTTTTCCAGTTCTGGCTTAATATCTAACTCATTTTTTCCTCCATTCTCTGCCCTTCCCCGTCTCACCTCTCCTTTCTTCATTCCAATCTGTCATCTCTCTTCTCTTTTTCCTCTACAGGCATCCCTGGACCTTTATAGTAACAAAAGGGCATGCGTCTTCTGCAGTGGAGGGTCATGCTGTCTATCAAGGTAAGAATCAATGGTTCCTCAATGTCTGTAGTAAAAATGCACACATGTTGTAAATGATCTGTGTGTGTTGTGTGTTGACAGGGACCAAGGCGTCCTCAGAGGCCCGGAGCTCTTGTGTTTTTCAGTCGACTTATGGGGAGCGTTTCACCATCACCACCAGTAGTCAATGGGTGCAAGGTAACGCTTCTGTCACACGCACGCGCGCACAAACACACACACACTAAGGTTATGTTGTATGACATGTAGGTGTCCTCCATTTGATGAAATGAGTGGGTTGTGACTCTCAGGGCCGGAGTTACAATGCTTTTGTGCCCTTTTTTCAGGCGCAGATGTGAAACGTGACCCAGACTCGTGCTGTATTTATGAAACAGTGTGCGAGTGTTTGCAAGGGGGGGGATTGTGCAAATAATAATCAACACTTGTATAGTTTGCTCTAAAGGCCCAAAGGCACTGAAAGCGATTAATGATGAGCCTCATTTGATGCTCCTATGGTGCACTGAACCAGTAGTATTTTAGGAAAAGATCGCTCTTCAGGAAACATTTGTTGTATATTACAGAAACCCTTTAATCTTAACTTGATCTAAATCAGTGGATCCTAAACTGGGGGGCGCATTGGAACTACAGGGGGGGGCGCTGCTTCATCACCAACCCACACAAACACACCGGTATGAAGGCAAATCACTGTCAAAATCCGAGAGCGCCAATGAGATCCATGCGCGCGCGAAAATCAAACAGCCGTGCACGTATTTTACTTTGATGAGCTCTTTTACATCACTCCGCGAGCAGAATTCACTCTCGCACGAGGAAAAGTCGCTCGCGTAGCTTAAACCTGCTCGCTCGCGAAAATTTAACCTGCTCGCGAGTAGTTTTTCTTTTTGACAGTAAGTGGGCGGATCCAGTCTCCATTGTATCTCTACATCTAATTGGTTACAATCCTCGTCTTTGGATAAACCGGATATCACTCTGAGATGAGCGACAAAGAGCGATTACTCAACTGCTGCAGCAAACTCTCCTCTTCATAAGAGTTTTATATTGTTATAACAGGTAAAATAGCAATAAAATGTCAAGAATTGACTGTGATATCAAATAGCTTTTGCGGATCCACACAAATTGTATTTGGTGGAAAATAGGGCAGAATCGCTCTTTGGATAGTAAAGGTTGCCGACCCCTGCCCTAGATAGAAGATGTGTCACTCTGTTGGAGTTGTCGGGTGTCATAGGGGTTCTTCAAAACGTGCTCTTCAGACGCTTTCAGCGTATTTGGCCGTGTAGAGGTTGTGATTCAACTGCAGGAGCTCAATAACTCTAGAGACACATGCAGACACAGGAAAACGTCTTGTTCCAACATCTCACTTGGGCTCTTTAAATTCTTCCTGAGCTGTAATTGATCAGCTTTGGTGATATCATCACCCAATCATTTTCTGATCAATATGTCTGCCTCATACCCCGCTGTCTGGTATGCTGCAGTTATTGACCCCTCCTTTACCACCAGCTCTAAGCGGATTCCAATTAGATGTTTCTCTTATCCCATCAGATAACAGCTACTTTAATGAAACTGCCAGACTCCAGCATGCAAATATGGACACTTGCACACATGCACATGAATATACACTTGGTGGAAAAGGCTGTGAGACCTGCGCTCATAATTTCCATGCAGCCTGACATACTCTGTGTGTGTGTGTGCAGCCCTGTCTCCTAAAAATGACGTTCCCATACAATGAAGCTGCATGGTGAATTATGTTTTTGATGGAAAAGTATCACAAATTTGTTTCCGATGATAGTCCCACATGAAGCCTTGTCCGTAACTTAAATAACGTAACAAACGTAGTTATTTTCAGACAAACCACGATGTTTTACTGAACCTAACTAAGTAGCTTTGTTGCATTTCTTATTTCAGTTTACGTTAACCGTGTTTAAAATTGCAACTGTAATCCGGGAGCATGTAGTTTAGTTGTATAGGAATGTCATTTAGTTGGAAACTGTGTGTGTGTGTGTGTGTGTGTGTGTGTGTGTGTGTGTGTGTGTGT